GTGGGAAAAATTGCAGGGGGGAATATAAAAAAAGTCAAATCAACCAAAACTTTTACAACCCCCAGGGGGTCACGGACCTCCTGTTGAAGACCTCCATTGTAAAGGGTTCCTTGGCAAAGGACTATATTTTGGTGTTATCTGCTGTGCAGCCGCACAGTGCTCAGGATATGCGTGTAGAAACAAAATAACCTCCACTGTATTGCCCCGTATGGGAAAGAATCATTCTGGCATATCTACATAAACCAAAACCCCCATAGCCCTCAAATTGAGTTTTCACAGTCCTGCAGTCCAAAAGAAGATTCTGCTGCAAAACAAAATAAAACAGCACAGCCAGGTAATAACCTTTTCATATTTAGATGTTTATATATTTCCTTATTATTTTGTAGACTTACCTTTTAAGTGCATGCCTAATATGGTTTAGGGTATATTTCTAAAAGTTTTATCGAACAGTTTGTTGGAAATTTGGCCAATTCCTCCAAACGGGTGGCCTTGCTTATACACAGCACTACCCATAAATCCAGTGCCTTATTATGGCCCTAAGCAATAATTTATAGTCATCGTTAGTTTGGAGGATCCATTCTGGCCTAGGCTTTGACTTCCTGTCAAATATTTTTAAATGATAATTAAATATTTCAACATTATTATCTCTGCAGACCGAACTGCAACAAACAATTAGGCCTGCAGAGAGGATTATCAGGGCTGAACTTCCTCATTTTCAAGACATGTACAGGTCTAGTGTCAGGAAAAAGATAGCTAGATTCCTTGGACAGAGTGGAATCTGGGTCTTTCTGTTAATTTTATAGTCATTTCTTCTTCCTCACTGATCAGCCTTTCGTTTTATGTTTTTTATGCTTGGGAGTACCGTAATTGTTTGAACCAACATTTGTGCCTCCCATAGGTATATGGAAAATCTACCTACTAGCAACATAACATGTGGATATCCAAAATAAGAAGTATACATCTACTTATTCTATTATTTTGCAAATATAAAACAAATATGTATAAAACATTAAAATTTAGTAAGATGCCATTAAGGAAATGACTATTATATTATATTTATTTATATAGTTTGTGAAGGTATCTGGTTTGGAACTGTATAAATAGATGAAATTGAATGATGCATTGTTGATTTGAATCTGATCTGAAGTTGACAGTGGCATGCTTAGATTTAACCATGTTGCAATGGATTTAAACGAGACTGAATGGACTGCAAAAAATAGTATTTAACTCAGGGGGTGGAGCTAGATGGGGGGGCCAGGGGTGGCCACCCCTACCATTTTTCCCCCTCTAATGCAGATGGTTGCAGCAGTAAAACTCTCAAGTGAAATACTTAAAACATTTTAATTTTTTGTGGCTAATTACACACATAAAAATGCTCACATCAGAGATGATAAGTACAGAATTCATGCTCTTTTCAGAACTAGATTTTGTGTTCTATGGGGTAAAGAGAAAATTATGTGTCTCTCCAAGTCATCTAGGAGTCTTCAGTGAAATCAAAGAGAATAACAATTTTCATAAAAACTTATCAAATAATCAATTTATGTAGATATTAGTGCTTGTAAGTATCAATTTTATGCAGAATGGTTATTAATACTAGAACGTAAGTAATGACAATAGAAAAGATTTATGCCTCAAAACTGAAAGAGTTTTATCCACAATACCTTTTATCTAGAAATGATGGATGTTGAAATATATGCATCTATTTGTTAGCAAAGGCTGTAGGAATGTATAGTTTGTCTTTATTTAGAAAATATGGATGTTTTGCTCATTGATTTTCCTGTTGGAACACTGTAGATTGACGCTGAGGTTCTGGTGTCTATCTGCTTCCGGCCACCCCTCATTGTACATTAGTTTTTGCCTGGCCACCCTTATAAAAATTTTCTGGCTACGCCTCTGATTTAACTTACTGAAATTGTCTGTAAAATGAAAAACTGTGATGTTAGACATAGACAACTGAACTGCAATTAACTTGCTGTGAAGAAGGCATTTGTACAGCATTGTAGTGAGTTTGTTAATATTTTTTTTTCTTTTCTTTTTTTAACAGAGGAGATCCAATGGTTTTTCTGCAATCTTCTACAAAAAAGATGTTAATAATTTGGTAAGTTATTTTGAAAGTTTTTAGTGAACACATTTACTTTGAAAAGTACAGGAAGTCACGCTCTTAAGCTTCGATTGTAGCTTGTTAGCAGCGGTGTTTTCCTTTGTTAAGGGACGGACTTCCGTCTTTCAATGTTTGCTCCAGGTTTCTGGAATTTACCGTCTAGTGATATTTCCAGATAGAAACCTCACTGGTACACAGACACGGTTGTCGCGTTGTTGGGGGTTTTTCGCATGAGGCAGGTGGACTAAAAGTCCAACAGTTTAGTCTGAACTGAAACTGTCACTGTTTTTAACGCCTCTTTAACTGAAGCTAGCTGGCTAGCATTAGCCAGCTGAGTTAAACCGCTTAGCATGTTTCGCTTCTTGAGTGACGCCGAGGACGATCCATTCATGATGTAAGTATTTGCTTTCGGTGCATATGGTCGGGACGATGTCATGTCTGTTTTTTCTGTGCATTATCAGCCTAGAAGAGCTACATTTCCAGCGCACTGCAGAAGGTAGCCTGTCATTCGTTATTGTACCCAGCTGTGGTGGGGCCCTGTAGCGGTCCACCATATTGGATAGACAATAAAGCGAGAAAATAATTAAATAAATACACAAGAACTATCAGTTCCCAAAGGTATTGTATTAAAATTCCCGCTGCAGTGATTGCTGATCAATGCTATGTTTTCTGTTGCCTCCTCTGTAATCACCAAATCCGTTTGTGAGCCCAATGCAGCACATTTCTAGTATTTTCTAGGCATTTCTTGCCCAGCATATTTACATCAACACGTCACACTGTGTTCGACAAAATATACAATAAAATGGAAATATGCTAAGCATGCTGGAAAAATATAATTTCTGGAAAAACTAAATGTTGTTTATTATTGGTTTTAAAACCTTGCATCAAAAGCAATATTTTTAAACTGCCTCGATGAGGCAGCAGAGCCATTATATCTGGATAGTTGATCTTAAGGACGTAAATAATGCAAATGAAATAGTTTTAAAATCTGATTAATATGAGTTATTTGATTTAAATACACCCTACCATGTTTGATGGAGTATCATAAGCTTGAAGATGTGTCTAATCTCTAATGGTGATGCCACTGAGGCCCGAGGGCAGATGTCATTGAGAGGACGTGTTAAAGGCTTAAGGTAAAAAAAAAAAAACGAAAAAATATTGGCTTTCTTTAATCATGCCAATACAGACCTTTCTTCCTTTACAGGGGTATGAGAGTTTCTGAGCAGCTGATTGGCTAATTTGATTAGTTTTGTCGTTATAGATTTGGAACATTCACAACAAGAATGTTATCTATTTATGCTACTTTATTAGTTTAGTAGCCTTCTTTGTTGTGTTAATTGTACTTGTCTAACCGTTGAACTCCTTTCTTTCAGGGATCCATTTGCTGCCCACAGACAGCAGATGAGGAGTATGTTTGGACCGTTCGCCATGGATCCATTTGCTCTTGCTCCCCAGATTCAGCCGCATCGTGCTGCACGCAGACAGGTAATGGGCTGTTCGGTCCATAATATTGTCTAATATCCAAATTAGTATTTGTCTTGTTTTATTTTGGGCTTAATTGGGAATTTCTTTCTAGGCGGGTCCCCTTGTTCCCTTTGGCATGATGGGAATGGTGAGCAGCTGATGTTTTTACTCTAATAATGCATTTTTTTAATAGCTTCATGTAAGTTATTGCTCTATTATAAAAAAGCTTTTTAAAGCTTCGGCTTTGCTAAAGTTATTCAGATATTTGGCCCCCTTTTTACGTCTATTTGAAATGCATTTCTTATTATTTTAACTTGATTTATATCTATATGTTTTTAGCACATTTGTGGTATTTTGTATACTAAAATTGGTCTTGCTTAAAAATGTAGAGTTCATTAGCTCCTGTTTTTTGTGAACCAGAAATGAACTCGTATATCAGAGCTGAAAAACATCAACTTGAGTTGACAGAATTATATTTTACTTGCTTAAGATATTAGTTCACTTAAAATGGATGTAGGGCTTGACAATATCACTATAACTTATATCACTATATATTTCTAAATTCAGTCCATACAATATAATTTCTGTATTTATATAAACAAAATAAAAGCCTCAGAGAGACTACTAAAGAATGTCCACAGCAGATGCCTGTACAAACGTATGACAAGTTTTCTTTGTAAAACTCATTCAATATAACATTTTAAAAATATTTGCCTATTAAGGATATAAAACCAGGAACGTCAGTCAATGACAAATGCTGTAATCATAGACTGGAATGTATATGAAATATTGGACATGTCCTGTCGCTGTTATTGAATAAAATTCTATGCAATGAATATTGATATTGAATTATTGTCCATTACTAATTGGAAGTAAGTTATTTGTTGACTATGCCGTAGTCGTTTTCTGCTAAGTAAGTCAGCTTTACATGTATTTTCCTACTGAAGCTTGCTGAAACCATATTTTTTCCAGAAAACTCAACATTCAAGGCTCTTCTCAATATTTGCAGGGAGGAGGATTCATGGACATGTTTGGCATGATGGGAGAAATGATGGGAAACATGGTAAGAAGCTCTGTCAAAGGGATAAACCACCCCTATGTCTAAACTACACAAGTTTTCATCATGTTTTTTAATAAGTTCTTCATTATGTTTCTTCTCATAGGAAAGAATGACTGGATCACCGAACTGTCAAACATTTTCGTCTTCAACAGTGATCTCGTATTCCTCCTCAGACCCGGGAGCTCCTAAAGTTTATCAGCAGACAAGTCAAACAAGAACAGGCCCTGGAGGAGTAAGAATATAATAAAATTTTTGAGACGTTTATCAGGATTGGTGTTATATTACCATATTCACTTGGCTGAACAGTGGGCCTTGGTGTGTTTATTTAAGCATGGTCATCCCCTGGCTTCACTGACTTATTGAAAACCACTAACTGTACTGACAGTGAGCAGATCTAGAGCTGTATAAATGTGTGCTATAGTGGTTCATTGAGAGTGCAGTCCATAGGATTGTTTTGTAAACTCTTTCTTTTCACTGTTTCTCTCAGATCCGTGAGACACGGCAGTCAATGAGAGACAGTGAGAGCGGCCTGGAGCGTCTTGCCATAGGCCATCACATCGGGGAGCGAGCACACATACTGGAGCGCTCTCGAAATAGGCGCACTGGGGATCGAGAGGAACGGCAGGACTTCATTAACCTTGATGAGAGTGAGTATCAAAAGTTACTTCATAATACGGGCTTCTGTTTGACAGTTAGCAGTATGCTAGAACGGAAAACTCAACAAGGCAAACAAGTGTTAAAATAAGTATATGCAGTACTGCAATATTTTAAACCCGGCATCTTTATTAGGTGAGGCTGCAGCGTTTGATGAGGAATGGAGGAGGGAGGCAGGAAGGTATGGTCCCCACCATGGCCGTGCACTGGAGTATGGTCAGGATCCGCGTGGAGGAGGACAGCAGTTGGCCCTTCCTGCCCCTTCCAGCTCAACACCCCCCCATCGACATGAGTCTCCCCGACATCGCCAGCATCACACACGTCCCCGTTATGATTGGTGAGAAGGTAAGGTCAACCTAACTACGGTTTTATTCAGCCATTGAAATGGCTCTCAATATTTTCTGGTTATGAGCTGTCTATCTCAGGTGCATTTTTTTCTTGTTTTATATTTCAAGATGCATATTAGCCAGTATTATTAAATTCTGTTTTTGTTTTTCAAGCAATTTTAAAAGCCTTTAGGCTGTTGGTATTCTTGGAAAATAGTGTTCTATTTACACCTCTTTAGAGCTTTGTATAATTCATAGTGTCACGGGGTTTTTTACGCTCTGTTACAACTTATTTTACAGACTTATTCCTAAACTTTTATTTAAGAACACATTATCACATGGAGAGAGTATTTTTGATAAGATTTGTAATTTTTATTCCTAAAAAGTTGTTAATCCAGTGTTATTTTTTTTTAGTTTTGCAAAAAAAATTTGTTACATACAAGTCTACCTGTTTTTGGGTGTTTTCTCTTTTCCATCTACTAATCCACTGGAGCTCACTCAGGTTTAAAAAGCAGTTACTGTAGATCAACATCTATTTTAATTCTTTTTCCAGATATAACCAGTTGGTTTGAAGCTACTTTTCTGTAGTCTTGGGTTTGTGTTTCAGTTCATTATCTTGTTGTCCTCATAGTTATGCATGTGTCCCTGCAACAGGAGGTTTCTCAGTTGTTATGGTTTCATCAGAGGTCAAAATGCGTTGTTAATATTCACGTTTCAATTTTGTAGAAAATGTTCAACTATAGAGCTAAGTGTAAGATTTCAGTATTTTTCTTTATAAATATAGCATTGTTGTGTTGTATCAGACATGTACCTATTTGTAGAGCTGCAGATTATTGGTACAAGTGCTTGTGAAAATGTTGAATAAATTAATCTGTGAGGTTAGACTTTTCATCCTGCTGTTGTTTATGTGGGAAAAGTACAAACGGAAATGATCTTCCTTTTTTTGTCCATGTTGACCAATAGCCATTTGTTTTCACTAAACACTTTGGAGACAAGAAATGTATGATAAACTGTATCATGATAACAAATGTCTAACATTTTGGTAAACTGGAAAAGGAGCCTTTGCAAATGGGGCTAGTTCATTTGGATATTGAATGAGATGGTATGTGGGAGAGAATTCCAGTTAAGGAATCTATGATTGCAGGAAACATTTTATTGGCTTTTGCTTTTGTGGCGTATTCACTTGGAAGGATTTTCAACTGGGCTTTGTTAAAATGCAAGACAAAGCAATGAAACTATTATCTTAGTAGTTTACATACTTGTGTTCAGAAATTGCTTTAATAAGATCTATATTTATTGAATAATTTAGCAATTTTATGACAAGCCCACAATAATAATGCTGATAATTTTTAGTCAGAAAAGCTGAAATGCCCCAATCATCCTTAAATCCATTACCAGTTTTAACATTCTGTTGATCAGTATGAAAATAGCTTTAAGGTTTGTTTCTATTAAAGGTCAAATATTGAGTATCTAAGCTTGAGTCTGGGTAATTATGGGACTGGATATTAAAAATGTATAGGAAGTAACCCTGATCTAATGTTATGTCTCCTTGGCGCTCTGTCTCTACAGGTGTACCACTTTGCAAGGAAGCAGATGGAAGGAACTGAGGGAGCGCTTCCCCCGAAGCTGTGAAACACACCGAAGACGGAGCTGCCCGTCATTAATGTTTGATATGACTGGACTGTCTAAACATGTGCAACATATTTTACACACAGGATCAACGAAATAAAACATTCTCAATGGCTACATTTACAGATCAATTTCTGTACTGTTACATAGAGCTATACGGACACCCCTGTGTAAATGTGGGTGAAACCACACTCACTTTATATATAAATATATACTCATTCTCAAAACTTGACATGTCATTACCTACTGCACTTCGCTGCTGCAGTATTCAGTCATTCTGCTGTACAGTCCATTTTATGTTTGTGAGGGCACTAGTGTGTCTGTGAATTGTATACTGTTACCTGATTAATCTAACTAAATAAAAGTTCATTAAACATTGTTAGATAATTAACAATGTCTCTCTTGTGATATTTTGCTTTGCAAAGTTTTAAACGTATAAATCTGGTGACAGTTGTTAAAAGTCCCCCCCTTTTTTTTTCTTTTTTTTTTAAAGGTTTCATTTGTGCTGCTTTGCAAAAGTGTTACAGATTCTTGAAGTTGCTCTTCTTTTTGTCACTTTGCTGCAGTGATAGACCAACACAGGTGGTCCAAGTATATCGGGATATGGAAGGAAAACTATGCACAAAAAAGAAATCTTGAAAGTGACGTCCAATTGTTTTATGCCACAATTACTCCATCCTTTGTAGAGCTACCTTCACTGAAATCACAGCAAGTGTTTTGTGGTATGAATATAGCTTTGCACATCTGTAAACTCAAGTGTTTTTAGTCCAATTTTTCAAAATGTATCAAACTCTGATTGGTTGACTGCCTCTAATTAAACCTAAGGTTTTAGAGAGCACCTATATCTGCAATAAAAATATATATTGGCGGACTTCATATTTTGGCTTCCGAAGGCAGATGGTTGCACTGTTTTTTTTTTTTTTTTTTTTATTTAGTAGTACCAAAATAAAGTGGTCAGACTAGAAATGCATGCAATGCAATTTTCTTAACTTTGCAATTAACTACTCTGGTTGATCATGTCAAATCTGTACATGTTAAATTTTGTTGTGATGCAAGAAAACCTTCAACAGAACATAGAGAAGTATAATTTTCTGTCAAAAATCTAGTACGGTGGGCTCGCATCCTGCCTCCTGCTGAGCTCTCTGTTTCTTTAACTACCTCTGTGGCTATTTTTAAACGTTCCTTGCAGCAGCTGCAGCTCCTGTCACCTGTCTACCTGTCTCCTTTCATCCGCGTTGTTACATCTCCAATGTTCCCTGACAACATGACCCACTTTGTGCACAGATCTGTCTTACAAGGTTTACTTTGTTGTGATGTCTGCTGCATGTCTTTGAGACAGCGATTTGTTTCCTTTTTCTTTCCCTACTCATCCAGACTAGGATGTACCGTAGTCATTTCTGGACTTGACAGCAAGAAAAAAAAAAGCCTGTGTATTTGTTTGTTTTTCACGTCAGAAAATGTCCAGGGATGAAATAAAAGAGAATGTCTGTTAAATAAGACCATATCTTCATTGTAAATAAAATAAAAAATCCATGCAATTCCAGCCATACCATTCCGTCTTTCATCTCTCTCCTTGTATTGCAACCTTTTCCCATGACTCACTCCCCCCTCCCCCCTTTACGTCATACGCTCTTGCCACTCGTCCTCCCAGCCTCTCATCCCTCTGACTCCCACTGTCATTTGCCGACTCACTCTATCCACAAGGATCAAACGCACAGCAGGTAATGTTAAAAAAGATTGATCTACTCTCTCATTCCCTTCAAGCATCTTCTTTCTGGTCTTTTTCATCCCCTCCTGCATGTTGTCTTATCTCCCCCTCTTATTAGACCATAATATCAGTCACCGACTGAGATAGCAGGTATATTGGACAGGCTTTAGAGCTGAAAGGAGTTGGCAGGGTTTTTTTTAAAAGGCATGCAGTATTGGCTTTAGATGTATGTTTCCAGCTCTAACTGCGTGTGAGAGTCTTCTCAGGGAGCCTAGTTTCCACAGCTTTTTCATCCATCAGGCTGCGTCACTGTAATCACAGTGTGAGTCCATGAGAGGAAGCGAATCTGAAGGCTCTTTATCGACTGGGCTGTAATGAAATGCATTTTAATCATCTTATTTTACTGCATTTTTTTTTTCTCTCCTCTACTACCTGCCTCATGATGGTAGTTCTATCAGTATAAATCTTCTCCATGGACTTACCTTGTGATCTGCTATAAAAAGAATTTGAGGCTAACGCCTTATATTTTGCAGGATGTCTATTGAGAATATTGTTGCCAGGGAGATCCTCGATTCAAGAGGAAACCCAACAGTGGAAGTGGATCTACATACAGCCAAAGGTTCCAGAAAATACTGTAAAAATGCATACTGCCTCATGAGTCTTCACATCCTTTTAAAAACAACCTTTTCCCCTAATCTAGGTCTGTTCAGGGCAGCCGTGCCAAGCGGTGCGTCCACTGGCATCTATGAGGCACTGGAGCTCAGAGATGGAGACAAGACTCGCTACAAGGGCAAAGGTGACCCCTGACAGCATGCATCCCTCCTTTTCTGTGGTTGCTCTCTTTAAATCTTGATATTTATTTTTGTCTTCCAAGGTGTTACCAAGGCTGTTGGTCACATTAACGACACCCTGGGGCCTGCTCTCCTGCAGTCTGTGAGTATCAGCTGCTGAAAGAGCAGGAAGGGAAGCATGAAAAATCTGTTTACACTGTTTGTGACAGCCTGATTTCCTACCAGGGAATCAGTGTCCTGGAGCAGGAGAAGCTAGATAACATGATGATTGAAATGGATGGCACTGACAACAAATGTAAGCCTGCATTTCTTGTACGGAGATATTTGGACTGACATGCAGCTGCACCAGCCTGCATCAGCTGCATCCATGTGTGATGAGGCTTCTTCTGTGTTTCCTTACAGCCAAGTTTGGGGCCAATTCTATTCTGGGAGTATCTCTGGCTATATGCAAAGCTGGTGCTGCGGAGAAAGGCGTCCCCTTGTACCGTCACATCGCTGATCTGGCAGGAAATGGAGACCTCGTCCTCCCTGTTCCAGTGAGTGATTTTTTTGCAAAACAGTTTTCTAGATTCAGTGCCTTGCAAAATTATTATTTCATTCCATAACCCAAAAAAAAAAATAGTGTTTTTTTTAGCCATTTTTGCGATCGGCTAAAATCAGTTTATGATTTTGTACATGATGGACAAGTCTCGAGTTAAGGTCAAGTTCTATGGAAAAAATTTCAAGCTATTAGCAAGTCATATGACAAGCTAAAATGTTAAAGGTGTGAGAAAATAAACTATGTGGATGGATTAAAAATTTACTGAAATTATTTTGCATGCAACATTTTTGTCTTTAATGAGAAAATCAAGTCATTTTAAGTAAATACATCAAAGCCCAAGGTAAATCACTCAAGTTAAAATTGAGTTGTAAGCCTTTTCTACCTCAAGTCATCAAATCATTGACTCGACTTTTGTTTTAACTTCTGATATACCCTTAAACCATAATAAAAAAAAATGCAAAAACCTAATTTTATCAGTAGATATAGAGGTAATTGTTTAATTTGTGTGAATCCAGATGTAAGATAACATTAGTGAACAAATGTCATCATGATGACTGTAAAGTTTATAAAATAATGTCCAGAATGTGTGTAATCTAACATGTGAAAACAGAGAATATGTCAAAGCTGCAAACTTTGCAGGAGATGGCTCCTTCCTAAACTTTCGGGTCATTGCTGCACTTTCTGTGGTCATTTCGATTCCACAAAGTTGATACGTCAATATAAGACAGCTAGAAGCAGCACCAGAAATCTAGCCTTTTTGGAAGCATGGATGGAAATCATTCAAATCTGTAAGCAAAACCCTAAAAGAACACATTTGAAGTTTTCCTAAAGCCAAGCAGAGGACTGAAGAAGCATGTGGGTGAGGGGGTTCCTGTCAGAGAAGACCAAACTTAAACTTTTTGGCTTACATGCAAAAAATCTGTGTCCGGTGGAATGTTAACCCTGAAATCATCCTCAACAGATGATCTTCAGAGTTACACAGGGGGGTGGCAGCATCATGGTGAGGGGATAGTTAGGTCTCAACAGAAAAGCTGGTGAGAAATGATGGGAATACAGAGATCCAGTGCATTACTGGAAGAAATATTGTCTGGAGTTGTAAAGTATTGATACAGAAGTAAAGGTTCAGTTTCAGCAGAACAGTGCCAAAAAAATAAAAAATCAACTAGAACGGGGTAGATCAACCCATAAGTATGTGTCAAAATGTTAAAACTGCTTCCTGGTTCTTTTCTCTTGTAGGCTTTCAATGTTATCAATGGGGGCTCGCATGCTGGTAACAGACTGGCCATGCAGGAGTTCATGGTTCTGCCTGTTGGTGCGGACTCTTTCCGCGACGCCCTGAGGATGGGAGCAGAGCTTTACCAGACCCTGAGAAGCGTCATCAAGGAGAAGTACGGCCAAGATGCTACAAATGTGGGAGATGAAGGTGGATTTGCCCCAAATATTCAAGAGAACAGTGAAGGTGAGAGATGAACTAACCTGGAAATGATGTCCTACTTAAGATCATATTAACTGACATCTTTTTGTTGATTGCTGTCTGTCAGCCCTGGAGCTGATTAAGACAGCCATAGAGAAGGCAGGGTTTACAGACAGAGTGGTCATAGGGATGGATGTTGCCGCCTCTGAGTTTTTCAGTGAGGGTAAATATGACCTGGACTTCAAGTCTCCACCCAATGCTGCCCGCAACATCAGCGCTGAGGAACTGGCCAGCATCTACCAAGGCTTTATAAACAACTACCCAGGTGTGTATCAAGTATTGCAGTGGCTTGTTCCTGCAGATATAGGAGCATCACACCAATGTGTATGGCATTATTAGGATTTAACATAGGAATATCCCACTGTGCCCTCCTTTTAAAATGGGATATTTGACTCCTATTCCCATTTCTTTCCTCAAGTTGTATCAATTGAAGACCCCTTTGACCAGGATGATTGGCCTGCTTGGTCGCAGTTTACAGCATCAGTTGGCATCCAGGTGAGATATGATGACAGTGTTTTTATGACGCAAATTGATTTTCACCACTCTGACGTTGTTGATTTAAAATGTTTTTTAAAAGAGTCCTTTTTTCAAACTTCTGCCTGAACCATACAAGTTTTTACAGAACTTTGTGTCTGATCAGATATAAACATCATATATCAATTATAGTGAATTTACCTGCTTTAAAATAAATACATTTTTGTTGCAGCATCACAATCACACACTGAAAATGTTTAGCAATCTTTAGTTTGAGGTCATTATGTCCAAAATTCCACATTAGGCAAGAGGATCACTTATTCTTTTTTTAAGGCAAAACATCAAACACACTGCTTCCAATTGTGATATCATGGGGAATTTCAAAGAGATCAGCCAAGATATTAGGAAGAAAATTTTTTAGAGTCAAGTACACTAAATTACTCCAGGATTAGTCAATACATTAAAGGATAACCTGCTCTGTTAGATCTACTCTAAATGACATATATTTTTTATAATACTTTCATCAGCAATTATGACCCAATAAGCAACCAAACACTGCACAGACCTACATATTTACAGCTGTACTAAGAGACTATATAAAACGGATAATTATATTTCTGAAAGAAGTGAACGTGGTTTTCAAATATGGTTGCCATAGAAAAACCTATTTCTTTCCATATTTTCTGGAACTTTTCTCTGCAGGTTGTTGGAGATGATCTGACTGTGACAAACCCCCGCAGGATACAACGAGCTGTGGAGGAAAAAGCCTGCAACTGTCTGCTTCTTAAAGTAAACCAGATTGGATCTGTGACTGAGGCGATCAAAGCGTATGTCATGTTCTGTTTGTATTCATGTCATGCAAAAATGTCATTTACATATGCCTACCATACACTAAGGTACATGGAAATGACAGCCAAGCTGTCTGCTTGCTTCTCAGGTGCAAACTGGCTCAGGAGAACGGCTGGGGGGTGATGGTGAGCCACCGCTCCGGTGAGACGGAGGACACTTTCATCGCTGACCTGGTGGTTGGTCTGTGCACCGGACAGGTAGTACACATTGATCATTTTACTTTACATACAATCTTTAAACTTTATTTTGTTTTCCATGGTCCAAAAAATTCATCCATTCATTTATCCACTAGTCCATCCTTCTCTCCTTCCATTAATTGTTTTTTGTTAAATGAAAAAAAGCCCATTATTGGTAAAACTTCTTTTCATAGCTCACCTCATTCTATCAAATATTAAACCGGAATATGACACCTATAAAAAATCATTAAATACAAAAATAATAAACTTCAAACCTTGAAGAGCAAAATTATTTTGGCAGAAAATGCACAACAATAGTTTTTTTTTGCCTTTTTTCAGATCAAAACTGGAGCTCCGTGTCGATCAGAGCGCCTGGCCAAATACAACCAGCTCATGAGGTGAGTTGTTGATATAATTTATTTATCAAGGCATATACTGTAATCTTCTCCGTTCATTTAAGGTGAGCTATTTTTATACCTTTCATCCATCGTTTCATCCCTGCTGTCCTCTCTGCTTTCAGGATTGAGGAAGAGTTGGGTGTCCAGGCCCGCTTTGCTGGTCACAACTTCCGCAACCCCAGTGTCCTTTGAATGCCAGAGACATCAGCAGTGGTGTAACATATAGCTAATGATTTTACAAAGTCACTAGCCTCAGTGGAGCCCCAAATATACAAAATCACTCAGAAACAAAGAGTTCAGAGAAAACATTGTGTTGATGTCAAATGAGCAAGGTCACACTTAGAGCGAGGTGGTCTCTTTAGTTTCTTGTTCTTCTCTGATCCCTTATATTGTGTCCTTTTCACCCAGTCTTAAAATGTTTTGGTCGATTGTGCCCTGTTGTTTTGTCTCATTCATGTTTCAGTGCAACAGTTTACTGGTGGTAAAATAAATAAAGTAATCAGTATATAACGCGTAGATGTGCTTTCTTGACCAGACTTTCTGCTGTTGCTCCATGCGTCCAAGTCTTGAGTTGTTTAATGTTTTCTTTTTCATTTCTTTCCAAGGACCCACATCTTCTAAACTTTTAAAGTAGCCTTGATCCATATTATGTCAGGATTTCTAACAATCCTTAAAAGTTTTGTATTTGAACTTTGGCTTGTTTTTACTCATTTTTATTCCAGTACTTCATTTTCAGAGCAAGGTTGTTTTGTTTTTTATATTCATTGTTAACCCAGTTTGATATTGAATATATCGAGAATAAAATAAATGATATACTTGCATAAATTAGTATTTAGAAAAAATGCACCAAACAATCCTGTTGGTTTCTGTTTTTTCCTTGTGCTTAATTTTTTTAACTAATGAAAACATATTTTTATATCAGTTCAAGATACCCTGTGAAAGAAACAAAAAGCAGTTTCCCAAACGAAGAGAAAAGCCTTAAAGCTATACAATGGTATGTAAAAAATAAATAAAATCATAATGTAACTGCACTATAAAATGCATTAAATTGACTTAACTTTCAAATAATTTGCAAACTTGTTGCCTCAAAAAATTATGTTTTTAAAACTTAACATTGGTTTTAATTTATAAGCTATTCAATGGAAAACTTTCTTGTAAACCAAACAAGGGGAGGCAAGACTTGTTTGGAAAGCACTGATTTAAACTGACAGAGCTGCAGGCCTGTCTTGCCTCGGGTCAGTTTTCTTGATTCAATAATTGCAACCGTTGGAGAGTTCAAGGCTAAAACCAATGCTCACCATGTGTCATATTTACAAAAACTATAATATTCCTAGGATTTTATGGGAAATCATCAGGAGACTGAAGCAAAAGTGGAATATTTTCAGAAAAAAAAAAAAAACATCTTCAGCTAAACCCTCCTTGGATTAGAAACAATAACAATGATCCAAACACACCAACAAGTTCTAGTCTGAATGGATAATAAAAAGAAAAAGAAAATGAATATTGTGGATTGATCTAAAAGTCTTAAATCTGACTGGGATGCCTTTTTTGTTACTGAAAACAGGCTGTTGATTCATGAAAGTAGGGATGCACGATATAATCGGCCCCCTATCGGTATCGGCCTGTATCGGCCT